CATCATGAAGCAGAGCAGGGATCGCATGAAATCCTGTGTGAGGCGCCTTGGTAGGTCTGATGGCAGGAGCCACTTCCTGCACAGAAGCAAAAAGACGAAGGTCTGGATCTGCTGCTCAAGATCCAAAATCAGAAAAGTTTTATCCTGGCAGCAGAGATTCAAGCATTCAGAGTGTCGAGTTAAAGCAGGTGAGGAAGAGGATGACAGCCAAACTGAACATTTAGAGAGGAAAACCATCCAAACCAGGAAGTAGTCAGGTCCATCTGAATCTGTCTGGTAACATGTAGTTACACTGCTGAGCCATAGAGGGCAGCATTTGACTGCAGTGTCTTATTGATTCATCACTATTTTTCATATTTTGTCTCTTATTTCGAGTTTGGCTCAAGCAAATCAGAAATGGTGTAAAATATTAACACAAATTATTATCTTAAAACATTTCATCTTGGTAAAGTTTTGACTTGTTAAGATTTATTCCTGTATTTTCAATTCCAGGAAATCTTTTCAGGTTTTCCATCCTGTAGTTTCTCCTTCCTTCTCCTCACACTGTCAGCTGCTCCTGTATGGAAGAACATTTGGTGCAAAAATATTGATTGTAACTGGGAAATTCAGGTCAGAGAGAAAAATCTGGTACTTTGGTAATTATAGAGTTGTTTCAGACTTTCATGAACATGAAACAGTTGCTGCTGCTGGTGCTGCTCTTGGTGCTTCTAATTTGTGCTGCTCTTGGTGCTGGTGCTGCTCTTGGTGCTGCTCTTGGTGCTGCTCTTTGTGCTTCTCTTAGTGCTGCTGTTGGTGCTGCTCTTGGTGCTGCTGTTGGTGCTGCTCTTGGTGCTGCAGGGCAGCGCTGTGTTGATCTGAATCTGCAGATGACAATAAGAACAAAGCAGAGATTATCACAGATTAAACCAGAGGTATACAATAATCTGCACTGAATAAACCATCGGATGGTTTTGCTCACAGCTGCTCGCCTTCCCAGTAGCCGCCCATGATGCTGGTTGCCATGGGTACACTGATCAAACAGGAAGTAGATATTATATTTCTGGACCTGGCAGTCAGATCTGGTTCAGCAGCAGATTTATTGAAATGAATTTATTTTCCGAGCTTCCAGGAAGAAAACCGAGAAGCAGAGAAAAACAAGCCTGATTGAAGCAAAACCTCATCAATAAATCTTCGGTTCGAACCGACAGAAAGGAAGGACAATGAGATGAAGAGCGGGTCGAGGGCTCGTCTAATCCGGCCGTCACGCCACGGCGGCGGCGGCGGCGGCGCCGTAATGTGATTTGGTCTGAATTAAAACGCTGGAATTGGATCTGCGGTAAAAGGCCGTGTCAGGAGGGAAGAAATGAGAACGACGGCGAACGCAGGAAGATGAACGACTGTCTGGGAGACGAAGAGAGGAGGAGGAGAAGGAGCCTTCATCACGGCCGTGACCTCATCATCATCATCACCTGCTTCACCTTCAGAGGGTCGCACGTTTCCTGTCGCCTTTTCAGCCTTGGTTTAAAGGAACTCAGCGTTTCAGCAGCTTCTCAGTTTTATGGAGGTTTGTCCAGATTAGATGAATGTTGAATTATTATTTGGTCTTTAATTTCTTGTTCTGTGTGAGGTTGTTTATTGGGAGAGTCTGGATTTTACTTTGAAAGTGTAACTTAGGCTGCTGCAGCCCAACGGCTGCTGCAGCCTAACGTATTGGGCTGCTGCAGCCGTTTCTAATCCAGAACCCTCCGCTACGTCGTTCAACCAGGACAGCCTCACAGGCGACCTTTGACCTCTGAGGTGTGATGCAGCTGCAGGATTAAAAACAGTAATCAGGAGACTGACCTCTGACTGACCTCAGACTGACCTCAGACTGACTTGTGACTGACCTTTGACTGACCTCTGACCTCAGACTGGAGGTGATTTATCGGCCTTCGCTCCGACTGCAGCGTCGCCTTCGTCCTAAAACCAGTATCAAAAGGATCTTCCCAGTTTAATTTCCCAGTCTCGTCTGCAGCCAGTGGGAAGTCGTGTCTCTTCTGAGGTTTGGAAAATGGGTTCAGTGAAGCGCAGGAAAAGATTCCGAAGGCAAAGAGTCACAAATGAAAAT